ACAAGAGAGAGAGAGAGAGAGAGAGAGAGAGAGAGAGAGAGAGAGAGAGAGCAGGACAGATGGGTTAGTGTGAATGGGGAGAGCTGGATGGTCTGTAAGGTGCTGAATGAGGTGAGATGACCTGATATTTTAATGGGGGCAAGTGACCTGAGGGAAATAATGCACAGACACATGTAGTGCGGTCCAAAAGTTTGAGACCACTAGAGAAAATAATTATTTGAAATGTAAAAATATAAGATATATTTTATTATCAACATAGCATAGTCTTGTTTTTTTTGCTTACATTTAACCAAAACATAGTAACAAACTTATTTTAATAAGAATAAAGTACAATCAAACATGATAAATTATAATAAAATAATAAAAAAAGTAAATATACGGTACTGATCTGTTAAGCACTATTATATAAAAATTGAAGAAAAATATATTTCATTTATTGTCATAACTTTTTATTATAAGTTTATTCCTAAAACTCAAATACCCACAATTACTCAGTTAAACAGAATAAAACATGACAAATCCTAAAAGTTCATGAAAAGTTAATATACAGTACTGATGTGTTGATATTATTATATTATTATATATAATAATATTTGTTAATAATTTATAGTCAAAGTAATGGAAGAGCTGCCCATAAATGTGTAAAAATAATAAAAGAAAAAGAAGATTTTTTTCTATTAATCAGCTTCCTCATAATGTCTCTGGAACAGACTTTATATTTTTTGTGGTATTACATAATTTCTTTGTACGTCAAACAAAGAGATTTAGAAGTGTCCCTTAAATTTTAGGAACTGCACTGAACTTCTAAACATTATCTGACAGTTTAAAAGGTGGTTTAAAGAGGACAAAAAAAACGCTTTAAAAATATCACTAATTATGTAACTAAAAACGAAATAAAGTGATTTTTGCATAACACCAATGGGATGAGTAATATAGTAGAATTTTCCCTTTGAAGAGTGAACATAGAATCTGTAAATCTAAATGATGTCTTTGTGTTGGCACAGCTTTAGCATAATAAACACTGAGACACACCAGAAGGCCCACATGGGCATGGCTGAGATGTTCCACAGTGATTCTCCGAAAAACAAACCTTAACTACTTCCTCCCAGACACTATGATGTCACATCAGAGTATAATGAGAACTTCCTGTCAGACACTCACATCTTGGGTATGTCGTCACTTTAATCTCCTGAGACGTCCATATGGGAAGGACTTTCAGATTTGTAATTATGCTCATTTTAAGAGACCTTTAGCAACCTTTTGGTACCTGCTTAGATGTCATTATTACGTAAGCATGTAGTGTTATCTTGACTAAAGACTGGAAGACACTACAACTTTTAAAATACGAACAGATTTTAAGACACTAGGCACCTTAAACTTGCTGACTTTGTGAATGATTACAGAAAAAATATGCCACTCACCATGGCATGAGTCGTCCAATCTTTGTCCATTTGCTTTTAGTGATGAAGAATCCCACAATAGGGTCAGTAATTGCCCCCCAAGCCTTACCGACGAACAACACCATGGACGCCTGGAACGGGTGAATCTGTCAGGAGAAGAGAAAGTGAACATCTACATTAATGGAAATCATTATTTGTTATTCAGACTGTAGTACGGTTCTTGCTAGAAGTATTAAAAGTTAAAAGAGCAGAATCATTAACAGTGAAATTATTTGTAGCTTCTCTTTCGATTAATCAAAGAATTAATAGGGTGCTATTCTGTGATTAATATGCACTATTAACATCATATCCGCAAGTATTATATGGCTTCATATTTTATTATAATATGTGGAGATTTCACCTGTGCAATGTCAAGTAGATATATTTGAAGGAAGAACGCTGTTGCGCTCCCGGCGACTTGATTCGGTGCCCCTCCGATGGCGAAACAGAGCTTGCTACATACAGAGAGCTTCTGATCCAGATGAGTCTGAAAAATAAAGCCACAGAGTCAGAAAATAATATGCAAGAAACCAGGTTACATTTTGACGCTGGCGGGTCATTCTTACAGTGCTATTTGTACCCGAAAGTTTCATTTTCAAATGTTTTTAATTTTTATTTAATATTTCATGTGATGTTTTATTGAAATGTTACTGCTGAACTTTCTACCTTTTCATTTTTATTGTCTTCAAAGTAATTCATCTTGATTTGTTGTAGTTGGTTAGTACTTGATTAGAGGTGCTAGACCATCCCCATGTGGAGTTATTATATTGAGGTTTCTGGGTGATAATCACAGCATCTGTCTTTAGGACGGTCGGCGGTTCAGAGTTTCTCTTTCTCCAGCTGTGGGTGGGATAGTTTGAAGGGTCCTCAGCCCGAGACCCTTCAAAACCACAGGTAATATTTAATCCAGATGCTTCCACTGCTGTGAGTGGTGGGGTATTTGATCACAGAGAACACCCTTTAAAATAAAAATAAAAAGAACGCTTTTGACTGTGTAACGTTCTTAAGTTGCTATATAGTTCTTTAAAGATAAAAAAGCTACTGGTGTTACATTATACACTCTAAAAAGGTCCATTAAAATAGAGTCAAATGTACTGTGTTAATAAAAAGGATTTTTTTTTTCATATTCATTTTTCACAGGTGTTTCCCTGTACATTGAATTGTGCTTGGTATTGTGTTTTAGAAAATAAAGGCAAGTTAATTAATGGAAAATGTCCTGCGAGAAAATTACCAGTACCTTTTGTACCTCTGCAGTGAATGGGTGCCATCAGAATGAGAGTCCAAACAGCTGATAAAAACATCACAATAATCCACACCAGTCCATCAGTTAATGTCTTGTAAAGCAAAAAACTGCGTTCGTGCTTTTGTAACAAATTCATCAAGACGTTTTTTTAACTTCAAACCGCTGCTTACGGCTATACATAATGTTACTTTCTCCAGTGAAAAAGTTGTCATTTTTAATTAGGAGAGAAATATGCACAGATCAAGCACTGTTTACAAGTGCAAATAGTCCAAAACATTTCTAAACAAATATGTTAGTGGATTTTGATGTGAGAGGAAAACAGGGGATGGACTTTTTTCACTTGAGAAAGTGTTATTATGGATTATGAATAATATTTTAGTCAAAGTCAAAAATGGCTTAATTATGGATTTGTTTTGTACAAACACTGAGCTTGTCGCTTCACAGGATGTTAATTGATAGACTGGAGTTGTGTGAATTACTCGTGGATTATTGTGATGCTTTTATCAGCAGTTTGAACTCTCATTCTGACGGCACCCATTCACTGCAGAGGTTCCATTGTGATGAAATGCAAAATTTCTTTAAATCAGTTCCAATGAAGAAACAAACTCTTTTACATCTTGGATGGTCTGAGGGTAAACTACTCATTTAAAACTATTTTTGGCTAAACTACTCATTTAAAAGTGAAACCACATCACTAAACTAAACTGCACTTGCCATTCAAAGGGACCCAGCAATGACACAATGGAGAACTCAAAGGAGTATTGAGTGACTTGTCATTTCCGTAATGAATAAATAAATGTGTGTGCATGTGTGCTTTCAGCGGCTTTCTGAATGTAAAGCATTTCACACATTAAAAGGACACTCACTCCTTGGAAAGCTCTGTGGATAAGGCAGAGTAAATGTGTGTTTTTGAGGGTGTGTATGTGTGTGTGTCTGCACATGTGCGGCGTGTGAGTAGAAAACAGAGAGGAGATCCTTTCAACATATAAAAGGGAAGTCTAACCGCCGCTCAGAGCCATATATTTACGAGAGAAATCTTGGAGACAGACATTTGGTGCTGAAAATACTACAGAAGTCAAACGCTCCTCTTTTGAGTTGTTAACTCATTCATCCGCTCAATCAAAGCCGGTGTTTGGCGTCTCTACGCCAACATACACTCTGAGTACCCTCGCAGCAAAACAACCACAGAGGGCAGGACCGATCACTCTTCAAAAGACACTGTAATTAACTCGCTGAGTTTCTCCCTGCCGTTCGCAACGTCACCAAGATGAATGACTTCTGAAATCACAATGTAATTATTCGGATAACTCAGGCAAGAAAATGAAAAGACTGGATATACACCCAAGTCTATTTAATCTAAATTATGAAGCTTCTTTGTGTTATTCATCTAACGAAGGAACAGTAAGAGGATTTGATGGTAGGCCTACTAAAGTGTGAAATGAATCAGGAAGCTTGAGTGCTTAGCCTAGAAGCTGAAACTAATTCTGGTTGATCTCCTACTAAGCATGACTCTTGCTATTGCACATGTCGTATTGTGATTTGAACAAACCCCCAACTCTAAATACACATTCTTGTTAAGTTCTGAAAAGAAGAAGAAGAAGAGAAAAAAAAAACTTTCTTAATTAGTATTTTTGTCTTGTTTTCTGGTAAAAAAAGAAAATCTCTTACATTAAAATGTTTTTTTACTTTGTAAGATAACACTGGTTTTGAGGATTTTTTTTAAGCACACATTTTTTCCCCCTAGTGAGCATAAACCTCGCTAGATTTTTAGTTGATTTAAATTTTTTGACAGAAATGAATACTTATTTATTTTATTTATATATTTTACTGGAGAACAAGACAAAAATACAGAAGTGAAAGGTGTGCTAATACTTTTTTTTTAAACTTGGACAATGGTTTAGAATACTGTTCAAAGGTTTGGGATAAGATTTTTTCAGTGTTTTTGAAAGAAGTCTTATTTGCTCACCAAGGCTGGATTTATTTGATCAAAATACAGTAAAAACAGTAATATTGTGGAATAAAATTATTTTCTATTTTAATATATGTTCAAATATAATTTATTCCCGTGATGCAAAGCTGAATTTTCAGCATTCTTCAGTGTCACATGATCCTTCAGAAATCATTCTGATTTGCTTCTCAAGAAACATTTATTATTATTATCACTTTTGAAAAGAGTTGTGCTGCTTAATAATTTTGTGGAAACAGTAACATGTTTTTTCTTTTTTGTTCAACATTATTTAATGACTAGAAAGTCCAAAAGAACAACATTTATTTGAAATAGAAATAAAATGTTTTAGTATTTTTTTTAACTGTCACTTTTCTCATGTTTGTTTAATTAGTTCTTGCTCAATGAAAGTATTGTAAAAAAAAGACTGTGAATTTAACGGTAAAAGACTGTAAAAATGCTACAGTAAAAACCTGTTAAATGGTTAACGGTAAATTCCCCTACTATATATGGTGAAAAACTGTATTGGACATTACATGTATTGGACATGAATTTTACGGTAGTATACCGTTTTTGGAAGTAAAAAAGACGTATAATTTACAGTGAATAACCGTAAATTGACATTCCCAGAATTCACTGCGTTACATTTCAAATTTGATGTTTTTTTGTTGAAATAACTATGTTTCTTCTTAGTTTTTTCTTATCAGTTTTGTATACACCTAATGTTGTTAAATGAATGTTTATTGCATTATTTCAGTTTCACGTGTGTTACCATGATGGTGTTTGGTGTTTGTGTGAATGGCACTGTGGACCTTCTATATATGTTATTATTTAAAAGCTGCTTGTGATGGGCTTTGGTTCATCATGTGACTTTCTCATCACCACCTGCATTTGGTGGTTATCAGTGTATTACAAAGGTACAAAACAGATTTCAGTACTTCAATAAGGTTGGTATATTAACATTATATCAGTTAATGAAATTACGGTATGTAACTGTAAATTTAAGTTAAAACTGTAAAACCTAAAACGTTGCTACCGTATTTTTTACGGTAAAATTCTGGCAACCACAGCTGCCGTTTTTTTACCGTAAATTTTACAGAATTTTTTTTACAGCGTGTCTTTCAAACTCAAAAAAAACTTTTCAATGGTACACTGAACAAGGGACCCAATCAGAGAATCCTATTAATGGTTATCTGGACTCAGATTGGAAGACATCCATTTAGCAACCATCCCAATCGCCCTAGAAACTATCCTCAGCACACTAACATCGAGGAAGGATTGCTGGAATTCTCACAAAGTTTATTTTTGTTGCTGTTATCATGATGGACACAAACAGGAAGTCAGTGAGCTGAGACACAAAATATCTGACTTCCTCACAGATTGAAAACAGCAACATCATGATAGCAGCACTGAAGTGTGGGAAGAAGACAGATCTGAACTGTAATAGCTGGCATAAGTAAAAAAATTTCATTCGATTCCTGCAGGAGTTTTGTATTTCACAAAGCTTGTCAAAAACATGTCTGGAAAATATTTCACCAAAAAACTACACTTACATTTATCTTTTTCTATTTCTGTTTTGTGTGTGTGTGTGTGTGTGTGTGTGTGTGTGTGTGTGTGTGTGTGTGCGTGTGCGCTGTTTTTTCCTATTATTTATTTACGTTTGTATTGTGACTTTTTAAGTAATTAAGCACGTATTTTAAAGGAGACATTTGTTTAGCAGTTGTGAAAATCATGTCAAGGTGCAAACAATCTTAATGTTCTGAAAATTAGACTTAATTTTCATCATGCAAATTATTATTATTTTTCTTCTGATTTTGGGGTGAAATGTGACCCGGACCCATGATTTTTGTGCGCTTTAACCGAGCTCTTAGTGCTTAGCCTTCTGCCTCACAGTTGCCGCTCTAAGCTGATTTTCACTGTGTATGTTTGCGTGAGGATGAATCTGGATGACATAATGAAGGTTTAAGGCTTTATGACCAGCGAGATTTGAGAACACATTATATCACTACACTTACAAGGTCAAATTCACCCTGGACTTTCACCTCCAATCTGAATGCGACTACTTTTGTGCAAAGAGTGTGAAAAACAATATCAAGCTCTCAAAACCCAGACTGGCAAGTGTAGCAATCATTTTTTCATGATTGTTGAGGCAAATGTTCTCTGATGGAGTCTCAGACTGCACGCATCATTGCAAGCTAAAGACCATTAGTACAGTATATATATACTTTCCAAATAGCATATATATATATATAATATATATATATAAACATTGCAATATGCATGTACATAACTAACACAGAAAAACATAAGTGTGCATCACATTGCCTTACCTGTGGTGGAACCTTGGTGAAAGCAGGTTCAGGGTGCTTCATCATGAGTTTGTCCCCTGATGTGACCCGGGCTTTCTCCCCCTTGGCCATGGCAGCCGGTGCGAGGGGTACAGAGACAGCAGCTGAACTCTCTGGCTTCTCAGAGCTGGCTACAGCTGTGCCTGCATCCATTCACATACTGCAGCAGGCAGAGGATGGGCAGGGTTACAGAGCTACAGAGGCCACATGCACAGATGCGTTCCAGCTGTCGCTCACAGATGTGAGCCAATCAGATGCCTCACTCTACCAAAACAAGCTGCTTACCTGAATCTGATACAGCTTACATTCCTACACTGTTACACTGACATTAAAAAACACTAAATAAACACGTATGCAAAGTAACAGTTGCTTAAAATTTTAATTAGGCTTATGTGCTGAATATATAATTAACACAGAACATCTAACATTCACTTTTCCATCAGAAATATTTTCAGTAGGCCTACACATAATGTAAAATTTTTTATTTTTCCCATGCATTTTTGATATCAACTGACATGTTAATTTGATTAAATAATATAGAATGCACATACACTAACAAAACGTATCTTGGTAATACAATGGTATAGATAGACAGACAGACAGACAGACAGACAGACAGACAGACAGACAGATAACCTGAGTGATGCGGTGAGCTGCGCAGCTGCTGCAGCGGTGGATGAACTGCAGCAGGTTCCATCACTCACATTCACTGCAGCAGCACGTTCAATAGATGTAATCACAAACACACATGCGCGCCCCCTACAGCACAGCAAAGACAACTCACAGGATCCTAGATCTAGTGAGACATCCTAACTAACATGACAGTAAATAAAGCAAATTATTAGCGTACAGGCATTTTAATTATAAGTTGTAGTGTTTTGGAAATGCGCCAAGGCTGCATTTATTTGATCCAAAATAAAGCCAAAACAGTAATATTGTGAAAATATTTTACAATTTTAAATGACTGTTTTCTGTTGAAATGTTTTAAAATGCAATTTATTCCTATGATGGCAAAGTTGAATTTGCAGCATCATTACTCCAGTCTTCAGTGTCACATGATCCTTCAGAAATCATTCTAATATGCTGATTTACTGCTCAAGAAATATTTATTATTATCAATGTTGAGAAAAGTTGTGTACACTTTTTTTCTCAGGATTCTTTGATGAATAGAAAGTTCAAAAGAACAGCACTTAATTAAGAACAATATGGGTGTTTAGATATACCAGATTTAAAAATAGACATATTGAAACATTAAGTCTCTGTAGAATTTTAAGTGTTTGTCAGTTATTTTTATGCATAAACCACAAACAAAATGCATAAAACCTTTTAAATTCACAGAAGCAAATCCGACTTAAAGAGGTGATCAGACAACTGTTTACCATGACTTAAAAATTCATATTTTTTTATTAACGGCTTACAAACTCCCAAATATACATTTGCTATTAATTAAAAGATTAATAAATAAAATGCTTATCCGGCCTGATGGTCAGACCTGGTCACATCAACCTTAACATACTCCAGAAATTCTTGACATTTAGCCCGCTGGCCAGGAAATCAACCATATGGTTGGCACTACATGTAAACGCATTTCCAACATTTTGTGCAACGATAAACAATATGTGGAAATAAACAGGATGTTTAAATGGATAGTTGGAACGAGATTAGAATGGAACAACAGTAGAGACTAGAACTAGTAATTCCACTCATTCCTTGAATGATTCCTAGATTATATAGTGATGAAAATAGTTTGAATCAATTGCACTGCAGATAGTGGATCAACTTAAACTACTCAAAAAATTATAGACAACTGAACCATATGATTTTTTTCCCCTAATGCACTTCTAAAATATTTAAAATAGGAATTTTTTTCAGAAGAAAGGTTCAAATGAATACACGCAAAAAGCTGCATATTGATCAGAAAGTCTCCTAAATTTCTACTTATCATCTCTATGTGCATTTAAAACACATTGGATTCCATTTACTCCCCTTTGAAATGAGAAACGGAATCAGCATATCTTCAGTAGGTTTATTGCAAGCAGAGGTCTTTATAACAGAGCCTCTGTCTTAGGCAAAGTGCATATAACATTTGACATTTATAACTTATCCGGTCCACAGTAAGACATACCAGCACAGATGATCGAACACAACTCTATTAAGCATCATGGCAGCTTCCATGATCTGAATTCTTCAGTGATCTATGTGTAAACATGTATAATAGTGAAGGGTAAATACTTGGCTTGTGCATACTGCATTGCATCAGAAAAGGCCAACGCTTCCAACTGTAAAAGAACATGATGGGAACCTTAAAAACTAAATTTTAAAGAATAATTCACTCGACTATGAAAACTCTGCATTTATTTAACTTTTTTTTTTTTTTAACACCCACATGTCATTCCATTCAACTGAAATGTAAGTTAACTTGCTGTGACTGGATCACTGAGTCAGTGAACTCGACAACCATTTCAGTCTGATTTTTTCACTTTTTTGGCAAATTATTCCTTTAAATCTATTTGTGTTGAAGTGGCCATCTATAATGTCTTAGTAATGTCCTAAATGTTTTCAAAGTCAGACAAAATTGGAAAAACAAACAACAAAAACCCATAGGCCTTTATGGTTTTAAAGGAATAGTTCACCCAAAAATGCAAATTATACTCACCCTCAAGCCATCCAGAATGTAGATGAGATTGTTTCTGCACTGGAACAGATTTAGAGAAATGAAGCTTTCCATCACTTGCTCACCAATGGATCCTCTTTGCAGTGAATGGGTGCCGTCAGAATGAGAGTCCAAACAGCTGATAAAAACATCACAATAATCCACACTACTCCAGTCTATCAATTAACATCTTGTGAAGTGAAAAGCAGCATGTTTGTAATAAACACCAAGACATTCAAGACATTTTAAACTTCAAACTGTTATTTCGAGCTAAAGTCCTCTATTAGATTGCTTTTTCCAGTGAAAACGTCAGCTCGTCTGGATCAGGAGAGAAATATGCAGATTAAGCACTGTTTACAAGAGAAAACAGTCCAAAACAGTTCCAATGAAATATGTTCAGATAACGGAATTAATTCTTTCTCTGGAGGGAACATTATTAGATTATGGACTCGTATTTTGGCCAGAAGCAACAGTTTAAAGTTAAAACGCATTTAATGATTGATTTGTTTCTTTGTTTTTTACAAACAAGCAGCTTTTCACTTCACAAGACTAGTTAATTGATGGACTGGAGTGGTGTGGATTACGTGTGGATTATTGTGATGTTTTTATCAACTGTTTGGACTCTCATTCTGACGGCACCCATTCACTGCAGAGCATCCATTGGTGATGTAATGCTAAATTTCTCTAAATCTGCTTTAATGAAGAAACAAACCTACATCTCGGATGGCCTGAGGGTGAATATATTTCCATTTTTGGGTGAACTATTCCTTTAAGAAAGTATTTATGAAATGTCAGTCAAACACGTGGGACCAATAAATCGGAGTCTCTGGTGCAAGCAGGAACAGTCAGGAGTGACCAAAAGGAGCTTGTGTGTTGAGAGGCCTCTGAACGATGACAGCATTTGCTAAGTCGGCTTCCTCCAAACTCTGACCCTCATCTCTCAGCTCTCGGAACGGCAGGGATGTAGTCAGGACGAATGGAGCATCTGTTCTCTGAGCCTGCTCCACAAAATGCTGCACATCACTGATCCTGGAACAATTACATAAAGGCCAATGTGAATGCATCTTCTCAGGGAGCTTTGCAGAAATCATGTTCAAGTCAGAAGCATGAAATCTTTACATGTTGTGACGCAAACGTAATCTGATTTGATCTGCTGCAAAGTTGCAGCTTACAATTTTTCCATTTTACCTTGTGAGCTTATATTACATATATTACATAATTATGTAAGAGCTTTTGAGGGTAGGATTTCAAAACTGGAGCATCACAACATGCCCAGGGTGGATTTATTGACAATACAATAAGAACATTCAGACATAATCTTAGCTGTGTCCAGTTTATAAAAGCATATTACACTATATATATAAAAATGCATATTCAGTTATATTAGTTTTTTTAAGGTGATGCTTTGTGGTGCAAGACACAAACCAAAAATGCTTCCATGCATTTAGACCAAATAATTTAATAGTACAAATAGTTGGCTGCAGTATTTTGATGGCGTCAAATATGGAATATTACATTTTGCTTAAAACATATATTGCATACAGTTGCATGCACACACACATACGCTATAGTAGTTGTAGTAGTTATTGCCATGCCAGCACCTAAGGCTATCTTCATGGCAAACACATGGCTAAGTTGAGATAGTACAAGACTTACATAAACACAAAATAAAAACCAAGCTATACAAGATTATACAAGATTTTTTAAATTAACATATGATAATAAAAAAAATCTAAAATCTTTTCTGGTAAATTCTTAATAAAAAAGTCCCTGAGTGAGCGTACTTCATAAAACATTTGTACTACTTGCATTAAAACTGAGGCACATACACTATAGATAGTAAATAATACTTCTATATAACAATACTACATAAGTTATATATATATAATATATATATATAGTTCAGTCATGAAACTCTAGATGGCGCATTCTGACGGGGTGTTTAACGTAACTGATGATATTCAGAGAGTTAAATGACTTGGCACAAGCTGATTGGTTCATGCTGCATATGCAGCCAATGAGCTTACTGCCTTGCATTTATATGGCTGGCTAGCATTCACTAGAGATTCCTGCAGCGCACTTTCAGAGTTCTCTGAAACCCTCCGCCTTCCCCAGCTCCTCCTGTATAGATCTGCTATGGGGTTATTTTATATGCTATTTGTGCAGCAGCAGTATGTCTTAAATACTTATGGCACCGTATCGCCATACGCATTGGCAGTAGAAATTTCCTGTACTTGCTTGCAGCAGCAGCAATAATAAATACAGCAATAATCAACAGCAGCAGCAATTCAGCAGCAGCAGCGTAGCAGATCTGTTCCGCCAAGACCAAATATATTAACATTGTCATATCCATCACCATGCTAAAATGTTCAGAGAGTTGTCATGATTGAAATATATATA